CTTGGGTATATCTGGAAAAATCTATTGAGTGAAATTTTACATCTTTCCTTCTAAATCGTAAGAAAACTAAATTCTTTAATAAGAATAGGACTCGGACCTAAGGAATTGGGTAAAGATTTGGAGACTTTGGGCTAGAAAAGCCCAGTAGTTACGGACCTGGGGACCTAGCCCACAAGTATTTGCTGAAAATGACTGTGCCTGGATGCCCATACACAAAAACGGGTGCCAGTCCTGGCAGTGGCGAGGCTTAATTCCCACTGAAGCTGCAGTATGATCTTGGATTTTGGTGAAGAAGTCAGTATACTTTATCCAGCTCCTGAGAGGGGACAGATGGGCTGAGCCTAAGATGGCAGCGGGGATGTTTAACCCAAGGAACAGCAACATACTGTTTTGCCCAGTAGCCTAACAGAACTGGTGGATCTGGATTAAATGGTCTCTGCAGGCTGAGGAGATTTGAACCCACTTAGAGAGTCCCATAACCGCTGGATAAGAGAAGCCAAGTTGGTGTAAGGAGGTTAGCAAGAGTCCTAGAGGGGGAGCCAGCAGAAGGGTGACCTAAGTAGAAATCAGTGTTTTGGGGACCTGTCTGGAAGTGGGCAGGGGAACTATGTCACAGTCCCTCTTTCTTGGACTTTTTAGATAGTTTTCAATACAGTTATTACTTAAGAAAAGTGATTACAGGAGCCAAGGACCTGTGCTGCTGGCTAACCCTAGGACCTCCACTGCTTCCACAGCAAAGGTGGCTTGTGCCCAGCTAGCACGAGGGCATTTGCACAGCGTGACCAACCTTGGTGAGCTGGAGCCAAGGCTGCCGTGTCTGTGTTGTTGGGGCAATAGCCACACCCTTTGGATGCAAACTCTGAAAGAAGGCTCTGGAGTAAAAATACTGATTTGATACGGGTCAGGTTGGATTGCTGCCTCTCTTGCTCTTCTCAGACAGAATCCCATCTGGTTTTCATGTACTCTCTTGACCAGTTTCAGGGATACTGTGCAATGTTGCTTGGCACAACTGCCCTGAAGCGCGTAATGCCTTCTGTGCATCGTGGAAAGGGACAGTTGCAGCCTGGATCAGTGTCGCAAATCAGGGCTGCACTCTGGGATTTGGGCAGTCAAAAGTTAGGATGCTATGAATTTCAGGTCCTTTTTGGATGGGCTTCAGTTGCATTATATCATGATTCCCCATCTGTAAAGTAGGGAAGGTACTTATTTTATATTACACAGAGTGTGGAGCCTGCTTGTAAGGTGCTTTGGCTAGGGGAACATTATGTGATGATTATTATTATTTTGATTAAATACAGATATCTGAAGTTTTGTAGCTTAGGCTGGAGTTGTAAACTAGACCTATCTTTAGTCAAGTAAAGGAGTCGTCATCTTGCCTAGATTGATATAGATGGCTACAGCTGAGAAGGTTGTCCTTGTCAGGGGGGAGAAATAGTGAGTTTTAATGTGTGTCTGTTTCAGACATCTGCTTCTGACGTGCGGAAAACAGACTCCACAATCAGTGAGATTGTAAAGTAGGTATGTTCATGCAGCGCTGGGCAGCATGGGGGGTAGTCCCACCAAAGTCGTGCGCACCTTCGGGTCTAATTGTGCAGGTTAAGTACATGTTCTACATACATAGTCACTAGATTTCCGAGAAATGTTATACATATTCATTAGTTTTCTGGGAAACTATTAGCATATGCAAATGTCCTTTACGCAGGCGCATTGAGGGTCTCTGGTGGTCTTCCATAGTCTTCCTCACTTGTCTGCTATTTGACCTTCCTCAGGTGATTCTGCGCAGTATGGTCTTTTACATGTTTTGATACATCAGTGCTCGTTAATGCCCTTATTATCTAAGTTCTCATTAGTGGTGTAAAACCATATGGTTAGTTTAAGCTAAATTATCTTCAAGGATGAGAACAAAGGCAGGAGTTCTTATCTTTTTTGGCCCTATCTATTCAAGCAAGGCCTCTACTTGTGCCTTCTTGACAAGATCGTAAATTCATCAAACATTTAATTAAGTTTTGTGATTGTTCATGGTTCCTTCTTGCTCACCACTCCCAAGTACCAGTCTCTGACAGGCTTAATCCTTGACGAACTCCAGTCTTTGGTATGTAAAGTTACAGAGACACAATCATTAAGCAATTAGCAGTTCGTTCTCTATATCACTTCAGGATGAGATGAATTGTGTCCTAGACTGCAGTGACTATAAGAAGGCTACCTTAGCTATAGATAACTGCATCAATTTAGATGAGATGATGCCTGCGCCATATCACTAAAGGCAGATCTGATTTGCAACTTCAACCTGAGCTGATAGCTCTTGATGGCTTTCTCCACTAATAGCTGTTTCGTGCTCTGTGTTTTAAAAATACCATGGAAATGAGAGGCTGTGTGATGGTCAGAGCCTGTACTGGGTTTTGCTGTTGGCTGTGCTGCAGGCTTCGTCTGTGGCATCTGGTAGATTGTTTAACCTGTTAGTAGTGTTTCTGTGCAAGGCTGAAAATCCTTTGCTACTGTGCTCACCTGCTTGAACTGGTGAGGGGGAGGAGGGTGCATGAAGGTGTATATTGGGGCAGCCTGGGTAGCACAGAGGCTTGGAATTTAATGAAGATTGTTGGTGTGCTGGCCATCTCGCCAGTTGTCTGGGCATTGGAAGCTTTTATGGCTCTTACAATCCTGGTGCTATAAATTACCTGAGTAAGCCCATGTCATTTAACACATTTTTATATTTAGCAAATTAGCAAATCTAGACAAGTTGCAGCTTTTCTGTTTCACTTCAGCATTTATATACCCACTTAAGTGTAGAAATGAAGGAGCACAACCTAATGTACCATTAATGTGGAGTGGCATTTACCTGCAGGAGGTTAAAACTTAGTGTTTTCCCTTGTTCAGTGAGTGGGTTGATGCTGCTAGCAAGATGCCTGAAAAAGAAATGCAATGACTTGTCCAAGAACAACACAGCAGGATCTCAACTCAGAGCATCCTCTTCCATTTAGCAGGTGCAAAGTGACAAGGTTCTTCACGCCCATTCAGGTTGAGCCTGGAAACTAAAAGTCAGGGTACCTTCCTCAGGCTAACTATATAGCTCGCAGTTTTTGTTAGTGCTCCTGGGCATTCCTTCTCTTTCCTCATTGAGATGTAGCATTAATGCTATTGCTAAAACAGCTTAAAAGTAATAGGATGTGACATTTCAGAATACTGCTGGCTTTAACGGTGGTACATGTTTTACAAACTCCTGAGATGTAGCTGTGAAAACTGTCCGATGGGCCAAGTTCTGATGGTAGGAAGTGTGGCATGCACTGCCCCAACTGGGCTGGTGGGAGATGCGTCGAGTGATATCTTGATCTGGCTGCATACATTTCTTACATGGGTTAGCATAGTCCCACCACTGTAGTGCTTTGTATCTTAAAATACCTTTTGTTTCATGTTGTTGTAACACAGCGCAAATAATTTCTTGCACAAAGCTCACTTATGATGCCTTTTGGGAATGGGGTGATTCCTTTTTGGAATGGGAGTGGAGATCGGAGAGTGTGAAAAACATTCCAACCTTACAGATACAGAGAGTGCAAAGAGCAGGGACTGGAGGTTTATAATAATCTAAGGTGGTAGAAGAACCAGACCCTTAAAAGTGACCTAAGAGCAAGACCCATGTCAAGTCGATTTGTCATTTGTTCTACAGTTAGTTTCCTGGAGATACCCGAGAAGCATAAGGGGTTAGTGCGCTGGTCATTTGAACCTTCTGATCTGTGTGTCTGGAGGGCAAACAAGGTGTCATTACTCCTTATGCAAATTCTGTTTCTTTGCGGGGGGGTCAAGGTTCTTGCTCCTGGCTCTCCATCCTTTTGATACAGAGACTGCTGCAAATCCATGAAACTTATCTCAAACTACAGCCCATGGATTGCTGTGAGAGCCTGCGATGACTGGCTGCCTTCATTACGTTGCTTTCAGATGGTAGGTGTTGGGCCAGTTCTCAGCTTGGAGGAGCATGCAATCGGAGCTGTAGGTAATGATGGCTGTTAAAACCCTTAGTTTGTTTTCGTCAGATGGACATAGAATGCAAGATTTTTCTCTGGGCTGTGGAGAGTTTCCCTGCTGAGTTGCCAGGCTTTGGATAGTTTGTTACTGTGTAGTGGCTAGTTATATAGTCTTGCAGGGGATCAGTTATTTTCTCTCTGTTTTGGGCTCCCAACTGCAGTCCTTCCTTTTGTCATACTCTGTCACATCTTTGTAGAATAAAAACTCAACCTCCACCACTAGTGAGTTCACACAGTGTGCAGGATGACTAGTGTAATGAGGCACCCTTCTTCTTTGGGATTTATAGGCAGAGTTGCTCTAAACACACAGCAGGCGACAGTCTGATTGAAGACGTTTAAAAACCTGTGTAAGCGTGGTTAATTATTTTAATCACTCGATAACACAGTCTAAAAAGACTTGTGGAAATGCATATACAAAGCAGTTTCAGGGAAGAGTTAGTGTTTCCAAGTACTGACCTTGTGCAGAGTAATCATGTTAAACCCTGGTTTATGTTGTGTAGGATTTTATTTTTAATTTAATTTTATTTTTTAATTTTTATTTTAGTTTTTGTTACCCAAAATTATTCTGAAATTTTTGTTGTAATTAAACCTTACAATCTGATAAGAGTTCTTGTCAAGCATGCTTTGCAAAAACTACAATGCAGGGGTTTTTTTGAGGCTGTATTAATGTAATTAATTATGGAAGTAGGGTTAGCATTGTTAAGCTCACTGAAATCCTGCCTGCTTGCACCAGCCGATGGGTTAAGTTTTTTATCTTCTGAAACATGGGAGCTGTTTTTAAGGCCCAGAAGTCAATGGGAGATGTGATCGTGAAGAATGCAAGGTTGGTTTTGCTCACCATCCCTCTGTTTCAAGGCATAGTTGTTGCTCTTTGTAACAGGCTGTTGAGTTGGAAACCGTGACTTCGGATGAGTCACTTCAATACAGTTCTCTCATGAACGTGCCTGAGAGACTATTGCTGATGTCTTTTTCTCTTCCCTTCAGCTAGTGAATCGGCACTTGTATTCGGGAAGCGCGGACAGGACAGTGAAGTGCTGGTTAGTAGACACTGGGGAGCGAATCCAAACGTACAAGGCTCACAAACACAGCGTTAGCACTTTGAAATACCACGCTGGGATCTGTAAGTTGCCTTTCCTATGTTCAGCAATCCCATCTCCTTTTCGATGTTTGTCTTTGATCAAAGATTGTTAATAGAGAATACTGTAATTTTGAAGGCTTGTAAAATTGTCACTTTTTTCAACTCCAGCATGTTTATGTTCAGTATCAAACTTTGCTGCATTACTCCATGTGCTTAGGAAGGAAGCTTAGACCTTCCTTCCATTTTCCACCTCCCTCTTCTGGCAAACGAAGAGGCAGTTGCTTTGTTTCTGTTACCAAGGGAAGTGGCTTAAATCCTGAGCTGTCTGTGGGTTGTTTGTATAGCCATGGTTTAACCTCACTAGTCTGATGTCTGTCAGTCTGCTTCTGTTGCATACTCGGGGACAGCAAGAGCTGCTGCTGGATGTGCAGCCCTGTGCCTGCCTCTGCTACCTTGTAGGTACTGTGTAATGGACTGTCCTAAACCGGAATCGCATCTCAGATGCTCACTGCTTCTTTCTAACAGTTAGGCTTCCTGTTCAGACTCTGACCATCTCCTAGACTGGTTTTCCACAAGTTCTTTTCCCTTTATCTGTCCTCTTTCATGTACTTGTTCCCCAAACCACCTTTCTGCAGTAGCGAAGCATTGCTTGCCTTACTAATGCTCAGGACTCAGTTCCCCTACTGTCAGTACTCTTGTTAATAGTGGTATCGACACATGTCTATTGTTGACATAACAGTATATTCTGACCATGAAACCTCCCTCTTTAAATCCCTCTCTTGGCTGGCTTTCCTTCTGCATGTCATCTATCCATTTCTGGTTTTGGGTTGCAAGACTGCACCTCTGTTTTTATCAGCCTGAACCTCTCTATGTGTCATCCTGGTCTTAATCCTGCCATTGATGTTAGACCTGATATGCCTTCATTTGCTTCCCAAATAAGTACTTCTTTCCTTCAGGGTAACCAGGATGGCAATGCCTGTCTTAAGCTAATCTAGAAATCTGCAACACTTTTCTGATTTTGATTTCTGTACTTCAGCTATGAAGCGAACATATAACACCAAATGAATGGTTGCTATTTGGGCCTTGATATCTCTTTTGGCAGGTATGTGTGATAAATTTGTGATAGTGATAAATGGCTGACAAATGCAAGATGGTACACATTAAAAGAGAGTCATATCTGCACAGGCAGATTACAGTTTAATGTCAGTTGTCTAGTGCCATGCTTGACATGGCTGACTGACCACATTTATAACCCAGTAACTGAACTGATTTCTTAATTATGTTTGGAAACTTAACGTGTAACCAAGCCCATAGGTAGATTTTGATTTTAATCAGGAAGCCTTTTTTTGGTCTTTCTTTCAGCATCAGACCCACAGCACTATTTTTCTCCATTAAAATAGTTAATCACAATTTATGGTTAATTTCAGCTCTCCTCACCTATATTGCAGAACTACCCCATTCGCCCCTACCTGCAGGTTATAATTTCTGCCGATTTCAGCTTTTGCAGTTGCCTAGAAGGTTGCAATGGAAGGGGAAAGTGTCTGAGCTTACGCTGCACCCTTAAGTTATTATTGCTCAAAGGTGCAGGCAGATAGGGCAGGGGAAATGAACCAGAAATTTTAATCCAGGATGAACACTGGCAAACAAAATACTGATTTTTTTTTTTTTTTTTTTTTTTTTTTTTTTGGTGTTTTCCCCCTTTTAATTACAAAGATACAAAATAAAACATTGAATTCATCAAGACTACCCAAAGGCAAGATAACTGTGCAAAGCTGATGTTGGCCTGATCCAGTGAGGAATCTTCATGTCTGGGTGGGAGATGGAGAGACTGTCTCATTCATTAATGAGACGTTCAGAGCTGCGTTTTTTTCAGCATTGATCCTGCTTTTCATGCAACCAGTATAGACTTGACCACACTCTGTAAAACCATCATAAACAAAGTTTAGGCTCAAACAAAAGTTTCCTTATCTGATGCCACCCCCATCAGCTCTGCAGCTTTCTCTGTCTTCCCCCTCATCCTACCACCCTGTCCCTGCCATACACATACATTATTTTGCTATAACACTTTTTTTCTTGAAATGCAGGCAATATTGCTGCATTTAGTCAGACCTGTGAAGAACATCCTGATAGTGTGATAGAAGTATTCACAGAGTTATTTAAGATCTCATTTTAAATCAAATGCAAACATACTAAAAGTGTCAAACAGGGAGAATTGAATTGTTCCACTTGAAGGGTAGAAAAAATGTCATAGAAAAATATTAGGGACTTGTTTGAATAGAATTTAGATGCATTTTAATTCTTGAAAGAGGAAATTTCCCCTTAGAAGTTAATTTATGTACTATGATTGCTTGCATTATTGCAATACATTATTTACACAGTAATACACTTATTTACACAGTGTCTAATAGTTTTGTTTCAATTAGAATTACAAAGACATTTTCACGGGATACCAAATGTTGGAGCTAGTGTAGCTTAAAATTCTAGCTGTTCACCTGGGACAGATCAGCACTGTATGTCCATTCTCTGTCTCTCAAAAATGCGGAGAAAATACTTCAATATAAATGATGTTTGTTAGGGTTTATGTCACATTTGCACCAGCACAAGCACATTGAAAGAATCTCAGCTGGGAAGTGGTAACTTTCTGTTAGAAGATCTTGATTCTGTTGCTTGCTATCTGATCAGTACCCAAAGGCTCATTGCCCCAGTTTACCATCTAAATAAGAAAATATACTAGAAGAATGAGAGGAAAAATATATTTGTGTTTTCAAAATGGCTTTATAGTGTACAGGGAGTCCAGACAGATCTGAGAACTAAGCTTTAAATCATCAGAATGTGTGTGTTTCTAGTGGCTTTCCTCAGTCTGCTTGTATAATTAATATCATGGGGTATATTAAAGCTGGTTCTCAATTTAATTTACTTAATGATATTATGTTGGTTATTTCTCTCCTACAGTATGTGCACAGTCATTTAAAATTTAATGTGGTTTATATTTTTTCATGTTGTAGAAACTCCAAGAGAACATTTAAAACCTGTTCTCCCTCCCAAGAGTCTATGAAATTGAAGTAAAAAATAAAAATGAATTATTGATTTTGTTGTTGTTGTTGGTTGGTTGGTTCGCAGGTGGTATATATAAGTGTATATTTAAATGCTAAATCTGGGTTAGATCAACAACTCCCCTTTGAAATTCAGAGGTGCAAAGAGACTTCTTAAATCCAGAGTGACAGTTCAAAAGACATAAAGGATGTCTGTCAAAAGCAAAATCCTGGTAGTGATAGCTAAAGTAAACTAACAGCTGCATAGTGAAAACAGCTCTTAATTGGTTCTTACTCTCTGCATGTGTGTAATAGTATTCAGTGATTTCCATTCACTGGAAAAAAATCTGTACCTTGGTCCCTGCTTTATGTCATTGTTACTCGTTTGCAGAATGGGATGTAATGCTTTTTCAGGATAGTATTGGTAATTGAATTTATAGTGGCCCATATAAAATGACATTGATTTTCCACATCCAGATGTTTCTTGAAGGTGCACCTAGGAAGTATCCAGCCTCCTGCTGTTTAATTTGAAGTTGGAAAGCTGATGGCAGGAGGTAGCCTGTTCTCTCGTCTCTTGTAGTCCTGACTTTACTGCCTTGATAACTTCTTTGCCTCTCTTTAGGAAACCAGTGCCTGACTTTTCCCAAAAGATACGGAATCTGTTGTCTTCAGGCACTTCAGTTTTGTAAAAATCTTGCCATGCTAGTGGCTTTTGCAAAAGACATGAAATGCAGGGAGCAGTGAATAAATTGCTTTTTGCAGTTCTGAAATACTTATCTCTAGATAAACTTGAGGAGTTTGGGTTAAGTGAAGGCAAGTGAGTGTTTATGAAGACAGTTTGTAATCCTTAAAGCACACAAATGGGCTCCTTTGGGGGCATATTGCAAAGTATAAAATCTAAATATTAAACACTGCCTTACAGTTTCCGGATGCAGTAATTCTGGGGATTTGATGTGAAGATCCTGACGTGTTGAAAAACTGTTCTTTGGACATGTTAAGATACCCTAAGGAAACCTGATGAACAGCCAAAATCTCTGGTCGTGCTTTATTTACTTAACACCTCCTGCCCCCTTGTAGCACATGTACACTATAGCACGTAGAATACAAGAGTTACAGCCAAAACCCTCAAATAATTCTGTGCCATACTGAAATAGAGATTATAACCTGGGCCTTGAATCACTTAAAGGCTCTACTGCTTGCAAAGATCCTAAGCTACAGGGTTTAGCTGAAGAAATCTACCACACTGAAAGAATTTATAAAGCTTCTTTGTAAAGCCGCCTACACATGCCACTCACTTATAAGGACAGAAGATTTAACTGTGGTATTTCAGCAGAGATGGCCCTACCTACTCATAGTTGAAAATGGGGGAAATAAAAAAAGGTATGCCAAATTCATATTATTATTATGAGAGGTGGTAACGCTGTTACTGTGGTTTGCAGCTCCACTGTACAGATCCTTCTGCTGCTTGATGCAGTAGCAGGAGTGATAAAGATACTGTAGTACTGAATGGAAACCTGAAAATAACTATGGTAAAACAAATGGAAGGCTTAGTGGAAATCCTTAAAACCAGACTTGAGATAAATTGCCTGCTTAGAATTACTGAGGCATGTTTAGGCAGGGAAATGTATGTGGAAGAGAAGAGCAGGAATAGATATTTGAATTGTGTGTGGAGTGAAATGCTGATATATGTAGGAACTTCAGGCTTAAGGCAGTTCAGTGTTTTGAAAAATATGAATGAAAACAAGCACACGCTGAGGTCAGTGAAATGAAAATGATCTGAACTTGCTGTAACTGAGAAGAGAATCAAGCCTAAAAATGATATGTCATGCTCCTTTGTGAACTAGTTTTAGGTACATTTTGAACTCACATGAACTGACTTTACATGGCTGCTCACATCTGGCCATGCGCTGTGTTGTGTGGTTGTGTTGCAGTGTTCACAGGAAGTGGTGATGCCTGTGCAAGAGCTTTCAATTCCAAGAGTGGTGTCCTGCAGAAGATATTCCGAGGACACAAGTTTATCATCAACTGCATCCAGGTCAGGAAGGGGTTTCTTTGCTGGGATTTCTCACTTCTGATTGCTCCCTCATTTGTTTTGTGGGAATTGGTGTGGCTAGCTGTTCTGTGTGTCTTGGGTTGGATGTTGTTCTAGGGTAGGATGAAAAGTAACAGACTTGAATATTCCTTTTGTAATTTTAGACAAACTCGGTAATAATAAGGATAAGTGAAACCACAGAATGAGACCCCAGAGACAGTCCTATGTCTGTGATTGGAGGTTTTTCAGGTCAGGTTAGACAAGCAACCATAAGCAATGAGACGGATGTAACTGAACCTGTGTAGGGGCAGGGAATGGACTCTGACCTCGTGAGACCCCTTCCATTACAAGACACCAGTGATGTGTTTGCAATGCTGTAGGGGGGAAAAGAAGTTTCTGACAAGACCAAAGCTTGGCTTTGTATTTTTTTTTTTTGTAATTTCATTTCCAAGTGTACAGGGCAAAAAATCCTGGGAGGAGAGAGGACTGAGAAGTGGCGACCTTAATAGGATCTTGAGTATATTAATGAGGGATGGATGAGGGGGCTGTGGTCACGCCGTGCTTGTGTGGTGCTTCATGCTGATGTAAGCCAGCCTGCCTCTGGAGACTGCGAGCGCCCATGGTGGACAGACTGACACATTGAGGGGAAGATGATCAAGACCGCCAGCTGGCTTCTAGGGTGGGGTGAGGGCAACTGGAAACATTACCAACAGCAGCAAATGTTTCATTAAGGAAATGAGATTACAGTGGGGAATCAAGGTTAAATTACTGCAGGTTTGGAAGAACAGCAAATTTTGAAGGAGGAATTGTACCTATAACTTACTGCAAAGGAAGACGGGAAGTGAGAAGGAAAGCATTCCTGAACCGCTCCCCTGCCCCCTGATGCCGATTTTGGTGTCTCCTTAAGCTTCATCTTCAAAACCAGCAGTCTGAAACCAGCACAGAAATTCCCAGCTACAGCCTACTCTGACATTAAGTTTAGTTCCCCATTGCTTTTCTAGTGGGTTTAGGTTATAAATAACTTGCTGTTTATATTTTATGGCTCTGTGAAGTGGCTGAGAAATGAGTCCTGCCTTGGTAATGTCTCATCCCACTTCAGCAGCTTTTGTGATAATTTATACTGGCTCTTGCAATGAGTTATCAGGCCTTAAGTGTTAGAATCAAGCTGCATTTGCTCTGATTTTTTGATGGTTTGATTGTGCCTATTCCAAGCTGTATGGTTTGGTATTGTGACGCTGTTGTTCCAGATCCACAATGAGTTGCTCTACACAGCTTCCCATGACGGCACACTAAGGATTTGGGACATCCGGGGAATATGCAAGAGAAATAAGCGGCGTTTGAAGAAGGAGAGATCTGCCCAGGGCAGGAGCTCTCAGAAGGGAAGTCTGTCTCGTCTCTTCAACAATAAAGTTGGCTGTATGGTACAGCAAGAAAATGGGGAACACGAGGCTGTTGAACTAATGTGACTGTCAAGAATAGACTTCCCATCAGTGACCAAAGCTGAACCTATTGTTTTCTGCACCACTGTGTCCACGTAAACCAGAACTTGGAAAGAGATGGGAAATGCCATTGCTTGAACCTCTTTTTCAGGAGCCAGGATTCTCTGTGTCAGATATTGTTGCTGCAGATGACTCTCAGCTGAGCAGCGCTGGGGTCAGGAGGGAGTGCAGTGTGGTTCAGGTGATGCACCTCTGTGTGTGTGTGTAATTAAGAACCTTACTTACGACTGCTTGTTTTCATTTCCCTCTGGCACAGAGGTGTTGCACACTTCTGCCTGTCTACTGTCTAATAAGAAATGTTTTCTCCCTTTGTTTGGCCAAATGTAGAAATGAAAGGTGCCCCGCAGTACAACTGCGAATTCAGTTTTCACAGCTGACGCTTTGGGTCAGTTTTTTGCTGATCAGACCAACTGACGCAGGATGGTATGGCTCAGCAGGAGGAGTTTAAAGCAGACTGGACACCCCTCTGGGAAGTTGGGAGTAGTAGGACAGAAATTAATTTTTTTTTTTTAACAAAACATAAGCTAGAGACCAATCTAAACCTCAGACCTTTGGTACCAAGGTCAGCTGTCTGCCAAGGCACAACAGTTGTCCTCCTCCCAACAACCTAGCAGGTTCTTTTTTTACTTTTTACAATCTCACATTTAGCAAAGGAAGCATCAATGGCCTCACACATGTCTTCTGTGTGCTGCCAGCCGCCTGCTTACCCCAGGCACGGTTCCCCAGATGGGAAGCTCCTGATGGGCTTCTCTGGAGGGCCTTGTCTCAGTGGGGCAGGAGGTGGAGGCTGTTCCCTGGGCACCAGGGCTATGGTGGCAACTGCACCACCTCTGGGCAGCCTGGCCCACTGCTTGACTGCCCTCATAGGGGAAAGGTTTTCTTTATATCCCCTGGGAATGTCAAACTGTGTTCTTCAGAGGAGAGAAAAGCAAAACAGGAGGATTTATTGGGTGCTCTATGTTTATCTTTCCTCCTTACAAGGCCCTGTCTGGCCTTGGTTTGCTAGGTTGTTAGTAGCATCAGATAAGCAGTCAAACTCAAGAAGTTCTCCCAGTCTTTTTCCAGGTTCATCCCTTCTGATAACCACTGAGCCATGAATAAACAAGGGTTCTTATATTTTTCTATTTGCAGATATAACTCTTTGTGGAACCAGTACAAAAATATCTAACCACATGTTTTTATTTTTATGGCTTTATTTATTCTGTACTACAGCAAGATAAAAAATGCTGTAATCCTTTTTTAGAATGGACTAATAAACATGTGGCATTTACAGACAACTGTCTATTTTTTATTTTCTTCTCATTTAGCAGGGATGTGGCTGGCTGCAGATGCACAGCAGTTAAGAATGGATGCAATATGGAAAAAAAACCCCAACCCGTATACTTTTGGACACACTTGTCTTTCCCTCACTGCTGGGGCTGGAGTCAGGCCTGCCATGGAGCTGTCCTGCCTCCTGCCAGTCACCAGACTGCTAGAGCTCGGTTTCCCTAGTCAGGGGAAGGGATGACCAGCCACAGACCAAAGCCCAGTCTTAAGGGAAAGCATGGACAACAATGAGCCACACGCACTGGCTCAGCGCTCACCGTGGTGGCACCCAAGACCCCTACTCCAAAACTGTGACACTGCATCATTGGGTCGGGCCTGTCACTGCTACTACTTACCCTCCTTGCCTCTCCTGATGAGCAGCTTTGTTGGCTGTCACCTGGCAGGTTTCTGCATCTAGTAGGAAACAGCATTTTCATTATGTATGTTAAATGCCTACCATGAAAGACTGATCTGGGAGGTCATCTACATAGTATAGACTTCATTCCACTCTAACCTCTCAGTCTGGTCGTTGCAGCTCAGTGCTGGCCCTGTGAGACATTTCTATGAGACAGTAGCTCTTGGTTGCTGGGGTGATGGCTTGCTATGCAGCTAATTTTGTTTGTATTTTGCTTATGAGGTCAATGCTAAGTAGGAGGCCTTTAGCAGAGATGGACAGAGTGAGTTGCACAGATGGTCTGGGCTATACTTTTTGTTTAAAACTTTGCACACAGTATGTTAAACACAAGAGCTTATCTGGCCATACACAGCAGCTGCACATGAAATTAACAAATGGGTTTAATAGACATAGATCTCATAAAGAGTGGAATTAATGAGTCATTACCACTTCTGCCTGTTGCTAAACATATCACAGTATCTTCAAATACACAGTCAAAATTAACTTACTTAAAACTTCTAGCCAATGCCTCCTGCCCTGCTGATCACTTAGAACTGCACGCACAGTTTCTCAGGGGCAGCGCTGGCAGAATTACATCATTGAGGAATGGCTTCTCTGACAAGCACTGCATGTTATGTTGCTAATTTTAAATTGCCCAAGGACAAACCTTCACTTCTTAAGTTGTCACTGCCAGTTTGCTACGCAATCCACTTCAAAGAGGAAAAATACTGCCTGTACAGCCCAACGCTGCCTTTGGTGCATGCCTAGGGGCTAGCATAAGGTAATGCCAGGGTGCCAGTAGGTTTGGGAACCCCTCTGGCTAACAGAAGGAATCAATTTATGCTTTCCCACCTACTTCCTGTTAAAACCACATCCATCACTTTTTATGTGTTTCCAATTTTAAATTCTTTTATGTATTCTGGTTTTGCTCTGCATTTTGCCCAGTGGTTCCTCAGTGCTCACCTGTAGAGCAACAGCATACAATGGTTGCTGGGGCTGGTTTTTGCCTCAGCAGCTCGTTTTACTGGCTTTAGAAACACTTCAACCTTCTGGGAGCAGATACAAAACTACGCAATTTTTATAGCACTTGCCTTGATACATAAGTATGAAATACAAGTAATTCCTTAACAGTGTAATCACTCCCTGCTTTTTGCTGTCCTTGGCTAAGGTAGCCAGGAAAAAAAAAAATCCACTACTGAAGCCTATTAAGTCTATCCGCTGGAACCGAGCGGTCATTTTGCAGGCCAAAGCTCTGCTTCCTCCAGGATCATGTTTGCCCTAACAGAAGTTCAAGCCCTCGCTTCCCCACTGATAAATGCTGGGTAAGGATGAACTGTCACCAGACAGAAGGTTCATTTTCCAGCAGCTGCTGTTAGGCCTCGCTCTAAGCAGAGATGACTGCCAGTTCCCCCATTCCCACCAGCTCCAGCACTGCGCCTGGAGCAGAGGGGAACGAGCTCCCTCTGCCGTGACAATGGCGTTATGGAAAACAAATAAACCACGTTTAAAGAAAAGCTGACAAGCAGGGAGGGCAACTTCTGTTCCCAGTGGAGAGGAGTGCTTACATAGCAGAAAACAGGATGTTATAAAACACACACAAAACCCCCAACTATTCCTCCAGAAAGCCGAAGCTGGGCACGACTACCGAACAGTGCCTGAACCAAGTTTTGTTCAACAGCTGATTAAAGAAAATCTTGTCTTCCCCACAAAATCCGTCAATCTTTAAGCCGCACACCTGCAAGAGGTTAAGAGGAGCTGCTTGGGGAAACTGGTTATTTAGTTGTAAAAGGAAATACCACTACACAGGGGTCTGACAGGACAGGGCCCTGCCAGGTAGTTCCTACTGTTTTTTAAAACCAAAGCATAGAAAACTCTTCCTAAAAGCAGGAGCAGCACATAGTTATCTTTATTGCCTGTGTAACACCTGCAGGAAGTGACAAGCAGAACACAGTATAAATCCATGCACAACAGATACGTAAATGTCTCTTAGAAATCTTTCAGAAGAAAAGGAGAACAGTTTGAAAGTCGATACCTCTAACCTCATGAGCTAGGTTTCTGATTTACAAACTCACTTTTTTTTTTTTAAAGCTGGTATTTTAAAATGGTATAGAAATGCTTCTTTACTTGAATACTAAGTGAATTAACTTATTTCACAATAAAAATATAGTTTAGTTCTATTAAATTTTCTTCTGAAAATAAATGTTTCTATTTTTCTGCTATGACAATAAATTACAATGTATCACAAATGTAGGCTTTAAGCAGATTTATAAATAAGCAGGAATTAAGTGTTCCACCTATAGTTTAACAGAATTCAAGGCATTTAAGTAAGAGATAAGCTGAAGGTGCATTTATAATCCAAACTCAATTTGTCAAGGTAAATACATATAACTAAAGTAGATGTAATGGGATTTAATGCTGTGGTACTTGTATATAGGATAAGTATTCATGAATGATCTGTTCCTCTTCCTCCAGTGTTAAATCCAGATAATCCTCTTCGTGTTCAGGAATATCCTCTAGGATTTCATTGACTGCATCAGTCTCCATGTCTTCATCTGTTGCTGAACTAGAAGAACCTTCCAATAAAAAGAAGCAGCAGAAGAATTCACCTCTGAAACAAGTTGGTACTTTCCCTCTTTCATCAGCATGACTGCTCTGCAAGTCTGTTACTGTAAGACTCCTCTTATTTCAAGTGGCTCTGCAAACAGTATTGCAGGATGGCTGTTTTTTCCTACTATTTAAAGCTGTAGGAAACCCTTTAGTTGTGCAACAGGGATCACTACAGCTCTGACAAATAACAGAAGGGAGAGAAAGTATGTGCAAGTTTCTTCTTTGCTAAATGGTATCAATTACGGTTCTATCACATAAGGGACACAAGGAAGGAGTATGTGGTCAAATCAGCTGACCGTACAGCACAGATTTGGAATAAACTCCCTAGCAGTCAGAACCCACATATTGGCAAGCCAAAAAATCATCATTACCAGTGGTAGGTCCAGGGAACATGCTCCAGCAACTTAGTACTTGCTCTCTGAGAGAGTACAGGCAGGGAGAGATTGGTTTGTTTTTAAAGAGAACTGGTGTGAGCCAGTACAATTAGATGGGAGAAGCTAGAATTGCTTGTGGGCTAGAAAGGGCCATGCATTCCTTGCTGGGGAAGTGAGGATGCAGACACCCGTGGCCTCCAGCCTCATGTGCCAAAGCCACAGCCTGCTCAGCAGCCATTTCCTCTCAGCCCTTCCCAGGACGCCTCTGAAGGTCACCCTTTCTTCTGGCTGCATCCATCTTACACACTGCCTACAGCTGATAGTATCCTTTATGGTCCCATATATGGGCTGTCGGGGACTGCAGGGGCTGTAGCTTACCTGCGCTAATGGATGGCTTGCCTGTAACTGTTACTAATAAAAGTAGTCTGGGGCATTACTCAAGGCCCTCTACCAGTATTTAAGGAGAAATCACTTAATTGTTTTGTACAAAAGCCAGAAAACAGCCTTCCTGCTTCTCTGCCTGCTGTATGCAACATCCTTACCTGCAGACTCTGTAGGCGAGTCCTTTGATGAAGTTGATTCTTCTGACGGACTGGACCCTTCTGGAGACAGCTGCAGTGACGCAGGAAGAACTCCCCCATAATGAGCAAGGGTTTGGGAAGCTAAGTGGATGTTGCCTTTAAAGACCTTTAAAGCTTGCTCTGCTGACTCACGGCTGAAACCCATATACATCAGCTACAGGAGGGGGGAAAAAATAAAAAAATCTGGAGAAATCCAAGCTCATTCAGCACCAGGGTCTGACAGGAATCTGACTCTGCATCTGACAGTCATTCTTCTTGCACAGAGGAAAGCGCTGCATGCCAGGAATTCCAGGACACTGACTCTGGTTTACTGGAACAGTTAACAACAGGCCAGTGACCTATTAAAGGAATGGGGATCTTTAAAAGAATCAAGAGCCTCTTGTTTAATATCAGACCAATTCTTTTTTCTGTTTTTCAAAAGGAAACTTCAAAGCACTCCAGCACATCAGGAGTGTGCACGTGCTATTTACTTTTTCTAGGCAATATAGTTTTTGTGCCTATCTGACATTAATTACATAGCCACACTAACTACTGAAAAGCTTTTCAGACAGCCTATGATGAGAAAGACACATTCCAACTCTTTCCCTTGTGCATTGCAATGTTTAGAGACTCAAATAAGTTTCCCATTTTCTGTCTTTTTTTGGGATAGAGCATTAGAGCGCACATACTTCTTCCCTCCACATCCATGCATGACAGGTTGGTGTAATGGACAGGAAGTACACACAAATTACATTTTAGCCTGAGTGTGACTTCACCGTGAAGAGCAGATGCCAGACAGTGGAAGTGTGACAGCTTGAGTGCCATGGGTCAAAGAATACTTAAACAAAGCTGTACAAGGAAGATTTGGTGTGTTTGAAGGCATAATTCAGAAACAAGACAACCAACTCCTAAGAAAGCAAGCGGTCTAACTTACTTGATCAATACTTTCCTGGGAAACCTGAAACTGGTCCATGGCCACAGGATCATGATCATCATCTTCCAACAATAACTCTGGATTGTCAAGAATAAACTACAATAAAGCAGAAAGGGATCAGAATAGAGCAACAGAGATATAATGGTCCTTGGCAGGGGTATGTATTTAGCTCAATAGTTGATATAAGCAAATATCAGCCAACTTAAATGATATCTGATTCATCAGTTCAGTCATTACAGTTCAGAAAAATAGCTATGAACTAAAAATATAGACTACAGAAAATAAGAATCTGCTAAACAATAAATAAAAAAAGCAAACAAGTTTTTTGTACAAAAGTACTACTCCTAAAAATTACTTACCTGAAAGGCTTGGTCCAGGTTTCCCTGTGTATTATGAAGAGCTACTTGAGCAGCTCTCTCTGAATAGCCCATACTTTTCAAAGTATTTATGTCTTCCAGTCGCTGCCTTCTTTTAGCTCTCTCCTCCCTCCGTATCTGTGCCTTTTCCTGCAAGAACACAGCCATTACAAAGCTCATTGTGCATGGGAATCCTTCAGCCTTCCCCTGTGCATATAGGGTTACTTCAAGTTTGAATCTCTTGAGGAAAAGGGATTTTTTAACTTTTCTTTTTTTTAAATACAGACTGTGGTGCCAGACACTTGTTACTAAATAAAGTTGTATTTCCATGAGCTAGCACTGTTGCCATACTTCCGCTCTACAGTCTCTGCAGATCGGATCTTATGCCATCACAGCTATTATAGGCCCTGTGTGGTGAGCGATAAACCTGTTTGGCAGATGGGCCTGTAGTCAAGACTTGCCAAGGACACACAGTCAGAACTGGGCGTGTAGCCAAGGAGTTCTATTCAGCCCTTCTCTCAGCCATTTGACTTTTCCATCCACATTTCACTGTCTGAAGTCTAGAAGTGCCATCTCAGCTTACCAAACATGACTTAAGGCACTTCAGATCTGGACAACACTGTCTTCACTTCACTTCAGCACATAAAAAAAATCCTTCTCCCCTCCTGAATCTTCCAAGTCCAAAGCCGTAATACAGTGTAGCTTGATGGTCACCCTCATAGCACTTTATTGTGCAGCCTCTTGGGATTCAGACCACCCAAGCCCAGGAGTGATAGCTTGATCATGGCATTTTTATTCCCATATGGAGTACTGCTGAGTAGCAAACACTGGTGCAGTCTTCCTATGCGCCTCTGTGGTACAACCACACGTCTTTGGCTCTCTCATCCCATCTATTTTGGGACAGAGCTTCCCTTGTTATATTAAGTTTTGGTTTCAAACTTGCGGCAACAGATGTCAAGCTGTCAGTTACACTAACAGTGCCAAAGCAGGATGATCAAAGTCCTTAATTTAGCACCATGTTGCACTAGTCACACAAAACATGATCTTACAGACACCCCAACTAATATGATCCTTGATTTAATACTTTCACTGCACCATACCTCTCTCCTGTTGGTGATAAGATTGGCAGCATGCTCCACATTCCCATGGCATGCTCGCAGGGCAAGGCGAGCTTCCTGTTCGGAGAATCCCAGGAGCGACAGGCGATGAACTTTATCAGGATCTATGGACAGCTCCTCATGTAAACGAGATGCCTGGGTATAGAAAGAACAAAATGATATTACTTACACTGTTGCTAACATACAAACAAAAAAAATGTTTCCCCATTTTTCTGAGAAAGCAAAGAATAGCTGCAAGACAGAGCCCAAACACAGGAGCTAGTGTGAACAACTCAGAATTTTTACCTAATAGTGTCTTACCTTCTGAATATACTCAGCAGCCTCTTTTTCTCTGCCACTGTGATAGTGTCCTATCCCTTGAAGGAGGTAAAGCCGTAGAAATAAAACCTTCTCACGACCATAGCTTCCCTAAAGAATTGTTTAAACAAGGTGTGTGGGGGGGCACATGGGTAGAAGCATATGTTAGAACATCAATTCATTATCAGTAGAACACTTTACACATTTAAAGAAGACAGAGTGACTAATATGTGACACTTAGTGTGCAGATAAAGTATCACATCTAAAACACTGATGATGTCTATGCATATAAACGCACATTTGCCATGACCTTTGCATCAGATCCAATGCTTTCACTATGCTGACAATTACACAACTAGATTACAGGCTGAGGAGGCACGAGAAAACTTTAAACTTCTGAAAGTCAGTCTTGTAATACTTGAACAGTAACTGAATACATGTAGAAAAAAGGCCACCCTAATTAAATCAAAACCTGCATACTTTGATGTCAATAAGTCTTTCATGGTTCTCCCCATAGCACCTCTGGAAGCATCTATGTGCTGTGGACAGCTTTTTCTCTGCATCATCCAGGCAGTCCAGCTGCTCCAGGCGGAAGTAGCACCACACTATATCCAGCTGCAGTACTGCATAATTATCAACAGTATTCAGCAGTTCTGTGCTACACTCACTGGAAAACAAAGCAGTTATTGGTCTTCTGGGAGGGGCTTTTTTTTCCACACACTTTTTAACACTAACGAAACAACATGCTATAAGTATGCATATTCACATATTTGAGAAAGCACATACTTCATATTTGAGGTAGCAAACTGAGGTCAGTGGAACTTAATAGAGCACTGATCCCCCATCACATTCACTAATACACAGGGCACTAATGATAACACTAGATCTCAAAGAATTACACTAGTCACAACTCATTTTGTTACCATTTAAGACAGCATCTCTTTAAAAGCAGAACAGAATTAAACCCTGTGTAATCTTTGAAAGGACAGACATCAACTGTCTTCCTTACTGCATGTGAACACGCTGAGTCCTGTGCTAGTCTCCTTGCACACACACACACAGATGAGAAACAGATAGGGATAATATTACTTTTGGGGATCGCAAAAGAGCAATTTAGGGCTCTGACTGCTGACAGGAAAGTAGTTTACCTGCAGAAACGCTGATACTGTTACTGACCTCAGCTATCCGCTCCACCTTTTACAGGAAATTATTACTTCACAGGAGCAATTGCAAACAAGTATCCATAACTGTCTCTCAAGCTAATGCAATTTATAGCCTAGTACATGAATATTGACTGTTTATGTTGATATGAAAGATTAAATTGCCCAGTGGCAGTATCTGTTTCAGCTGTCCTACATGAAGCCACCTGCCACTGCAAGTCAGAGCCTTTGTCTGCCGTCTCCCATTTGCAGAGGGGTGTGAAGTAATCCCTGGCAAAACAGGCCCTGATTTATATGCACAGGTAGAGCTAATGCTGTTCCTGTATTTGGTTGACAGTAAAGGAAAGAGAGACACAAGAACTTAGAAAGATTCTTACCAGAAGTGTTTATCAGCATCCAACAAATATGGCAGGGCTATCTCATATTCCTTCTTCTTCATTAAGGCTCTGCCCTTCTCATGATAACCCATTGCCAGCACAAGTGCCTAGAAAAACAGATTGAGACTTCCTTTGCACCTCCCCAACTCACTTTTATAACTAAAAAGAAATACCTAGATAATCCATTAAGAGCCCTTGTTCTTCCTAGAAAAATACAATTGTATCAGTTCTGCAAGAGCAGTACTATTTCACATTTTTCTCATCTGCTAATGTTAAAATATTGTCTAATTAAAAGCAATGAATGTTACTGACACATGAAATGTCGCACCAAGTTTATTTTAAGAATGCAACCCTAGACAGATTTTCAATGATGAGTGATAAAAAGCTAAGCATTTTTCTGGGTTCTACACTTCCTAACAGCATAAATTTGTGTTGCTTTGCTATTACAACTATCTTGTAAAATCTAACAATTCACCTCCTCTAAAACCTCAGAACCAAAAATTTTATTTTGAATGTGGCCAGAAAACACTCTAGTTCCTGCAGTATGACAAATGGAAATGTAAATAATATATATGGATAGAAACAACCTGCAATATTTCCTCTCACCCACATTCAATACTGAATGATGAAATCTTGTGCACTTGAACATTTGATGCTTTAACTCTACAGGTGAATTACTACTTTCAGCACTTCATCAGAACAGCATGCATTGTGAGAACAGACAGTTGTTATTCCAATCATCCAGAAACTCCAGATGATGCAGAAAACACAGTATGCCTCAGAAGAGGCTAGGGCAGCAGTTTGCACACCTTGGGGCCTGCTCATTTCTTCCAGAGGTATTTTTTTTTTGTTACTGGGTATAATTCCAAGTATTTGTAAAGATTTTTATTTATCTTCAGAAAATCTAGCAATCTTAAAAAGGTAGCATCTATCACCATTCTTCTGCTTCAGCAGCCAACATCAGGTATGTCACTCCTACTGTAATTCAATCCATGTACGCAACCAAAGACATTTTCAGTTGAGGATGTGGAACTTTGTGGTGAATTTGTCAAAATTTGTGGTGAACAAATTTAAATTTGAGAGGGGAGTGCAAAAGATCTCAAAACTATTTTAAAAGAGTCCGATTGAGAGACTCATTGAGTTTCCAACTGAAACTGAGGCTTAACGAACAAGTTATTTTCATGTTGTAGGGCACCCAAAATTTAAAATAGGTGCTAGGATATAACAAAAGTTAAAGCTCACCCTAAAACACAAAAATAAGATATGGACCACACAGGGGTCAGTGCAAGATTAGACCTGCAATTAGATCAGCAGTCAGAGGTCTGTCTCCAGATGACTGAAGTATTCCCAATTGTAGAGTTCTACTTCCATTTTATTTAAAAATTATTTCTAGTAAGCAAACTTCTACTGGACCCAGGGTTACATCCCCAAAACTCTGACTGTATTTCAATCCCATATTTGAAATGCTTCATAAATCAAGCTTTAAAAAGCTGTCTTAGTAGCTTTATAAGATACTTTTACCTACTTTTTTAGCTTGAGGAGGAATCTCAATTGACCTTCCAGTCTGATTAGCTATGTCTAGATATGGAACAGAATCTGGATCCAAGTACTCCTCTGAAATATAAGAAAAAACAATTTGAATTGTAAGTACCATCTTCAACAAAGTAACTCTACTGTTGTAAGATTATGTCAGTAAGTACATGGTTAAACAAAAAAGCAAACAAACAACAAAAATCAGGATTACATATAACGGCTGCATCTGTGGTTTTTTGGACATACCTACCAACAATGGCCCTGATCAGACAAACACAATCATCCAGAAATTTAGACACAACATTAAGCTACCTGAATTATAAATAATTTTTTGCAGAAGACAAAACACCTACATTTTAAATGATGTAACATTTGAAATGCTTTATCAAATAAAGCATACAATATAAAGAAAACCACAACTGAGCACAGTTGATAAAACAGAAAAAAATAGCTCAATGTTTTCCTTTCCCTACATCTTTAATGCTTATAACCAAGCTATCAATTTTGTCTTCACTTCCATCTGATTTAAAATGAAAAGATGCTTTTCTTATAAACAAAAGGCAGTTAAGCAGGAGTTTGCTAAGATTAAAAGCTTCTGCACTACATTTTTTCTCAGATGAAACAAAAGGGTTGTTAAATCCTTCCTACACTTCACACAGAACCTTCAGCCTGTGAGCCCATTAGGGACTGCACTCTGTACTTCGGCATTGTGCTATAACTGACAGTTAGTGGTAAATACCTTAAAGAGGCCCTATACAGGATTCAAGGGCTGGGGTCTAAATTCCCCCTTAAATCCATAAAAGGAATCACTTCTTTCATTTGTTCATAATCTGATACTATAGTAAGAAACAGGCTGTCACTGACCCTTGAAAGAAGCTTTGTTCAGGTATTTTTGCATTTGGCAGGAATTCATTCCATACTCAGTTTCACAGTTCCTTGTTTATGGATTTTTGAAATAATAAAATAAAGAAGTGATTTAAACTCACCATCTAGCAATGTACAAACACAACCTCATTTTGAGAAACTATTACTGTTAGATTGACTATATCCCTTTAACTTAATCCACAGTTGCCAGCAATCAACATCAAATGCAATGAGAACAGCCACATTACAGATGAAAATGATAAATGAGCTACTCTGCACAATGAAACCATGGTTACACGCAGCCATATCTGAGGTAAACTACAAAAAAGTGTTTAATGACTTATAATACATTATTCTACTGTGCTTATGTCTACAATAAATTTAAAGCCTGTTCTCAAGAGTCATCAGTCCCTTAACTGTCAAGTGCCAATTAAATAATAATTGATTCATATTATATCCTTCTCAAAGTGCCAAATGTTTTCTAGCATTCTAGTTGTGTAAGAAGAGTTGGAGTAGAAGAGGAAGTTTTAGTCAATTTAAAATCCAGTTTTCAAGTAGGCAGAAACCTAGAAAAGTATAAATTGAAATCCAGCCACGGTACAGGCACTCTTCTATGTTGAAAGTCCCCTGAGAAGATAATTTTTGATGCACAAGAATTAATGAACACCCATCTGCCTCCACCCCACAAAAACCCTCTAACAAACCCCCTTACCTCTCTCTGCTAGAATTTCTAAACCCTTCTTAGTTCTTTGCATCTTGTCATTTATTTCTTTTTCTTTCTTGCATTGAAGCTCTTCTTCCTGAACTTTTCTTTTAGTTTCCTCATCACTCTGTTCCAGTTGAAGTACCATCACTTTCGCATTGTGCGTTACACCCTGGTCTTCAAGGGTTTTGCCTGCAAAATAGAGTATGATGAATAAAATTAAAATACTCTGTTTGTGAAGACAGACCATTTTACATTGTACTGCCATGGGGCGGGGGGGGAATCCAACACCCACAAACAAAACAACCTGAACAGCCCCTTGCCTTACTTGTACTGAAGAACGACAGGAATTACTAGACTCAAGAACCCAATCAAAACTCCTGCCAATTACTGACATATTCAGTACATACTCAGAAATTAGAATCAGACTTGCATCTTAAAAGAGCTTTTTAAATAACTGGTATGTTTCTTTACTTGCTTGCTTTTTTCAAATCAAAAATATGATTGTTTCTATTTCAGTTAATTATCTTCAGGCAAAAACTGGAATAACAAAATGTCCAGGATCATACATTACAACAGTAACAGTACAGAGGAACTGGGAACTGAATCTGAGTTCCTGTTGTCAATTCCATCACTCTAATTCCGACATATTCTAAAGGAAAAAAATGTCAGATGCTTAGGCCATCCATAAAGAGGAAGCTGTTGTCATCACTTCCCACAACATGTCTGACAAGTTGAACATGTGTGAAGCATTACAAGAGGGTTTTGGATGTGCTGTTATGCAATATGGTTTTTGAGGAAATTTAGGGTTTCTCTTAAACATGCATTTTAAGTGTTTCGACACTTAAAAAAATGGATTTTCAACATTTACTACAGGATTCCTATAATTGCTCTAATTCTAAGAATTTTGATCATTATAATTTATTACATTTCCTGTAGAGCAGAATCTGTGTATTGGGTTTGTGTGGCAAGATTTTAGTAGCGGGGGGCTATAGGGGTGGCTTCTGTGAGAAGCTGCTAGAAGCTTCCCCTATGTCTGACAGAACCAAGGCCAGCTGGCTCCAAGATGGACCCACCGCCGGCCAAGGCCGAGCCCATCAGCGATGGTGGTAGCACCTCTGTGACAACATATTTAAGAAGGGGAAAAAAGTGGTCGCAGGCACAGAAACTGCAGCTGGGGAGAGGAGTGAGAAGATGTGAGAGAACCAACCCTGCAGACCCCCAGGTCAGTGCAGAAGGAGGGGGAGAAGGTGCTCCAGGTGCCAGAGCAGAGATTCCCCTCCAGCCCGTGGGGAAGACCATGGTGAGGCAGGCTGTCCCCCTGCAGCCCAGGGAGGTCCACGGGGGAGCAGATCTCCACCTGCAGCCCGGGGAGGACCCCATGCAGGAGCAGGTGGGTGCCCGAAGGAGGCTGTGACCCCTTGGGAACCCCCACTGGAGCAGGCTCCTGGCAGGACCTGCGGACCCATGGAGAGAGGAGCCCACGCTGGAGCAGGTTTTCTGGCAGGACTTGTGACCCCGCGGGGGACCCACGCTGGAGCAGGCTGTGCCTGAAGGGCTGCACCCTGTGGAAGGGACCCACGCTGGAGCAGTTCGTGAAGAACTGCAGCCCGTGGGAAGGACCCACGTTGGAGAAGTTCGTGGAGAACTGTCTCCCGTGGGAGGGACCCCACGCTGGGGCAGGGGAGGAGTGTGAGGAGTCCTGCCCCTGAGGAGGAGGATGAAGCAGCAGAGACAATGTGTGATAAACTGATCGTAACCCCCACTCCCCGTCCGCCTGCACTGCTGGGGGGAGTAGGAGGTAGAGAATTCAGGGGTGAAGCTGTGCCCGGGAGGAAGGCAGGGGTGGAGGGAAGGTGTTTTGAGATTTGATTTTATTTCTCATTACCCTATTCTGGTTGACTGGCAATAAATTAAGTTAATTTTCCCCAAGTCGAGTCTGTTTTGCCCATGACGGTAATTGGTTGAGTGATCTCTCCCTGTCCTTATCTCGACCCACAAGCCCTTTGTTATATTTTCTCTCTCCTGTCCAGCTGAGGGCGGGGGAGGAGGGTGAGGGGAGTGACAGAGCAGCTTTGGTGGGCATCTGGCCTTCAGCCAGAGTCAACCCACCACAACCTGACAAATATAATTGCTATTCCTTGGGAATTTCTGAAATCAACAGAGTTGCAAGAAATTTTTCTTTTGAGAATCAGTAAACTAGAAAATGACCACAAAAGTATACTTAACTAGAGATACATACCCAGGTCAAGCTGCTTCTTATTTATGATTATTTTGATAGCATTTTCTTTTAATGCATGTTCCTGTGCTATCCTGTGAAAGAAAGAATTTCATCCACAAATATAAGTTTCTAAGTCTATACAGTATTTCTGTTAGAATAGTAAGAAAAGTAAAAAAATCAGTATGCTCATAACTGGCTTAAAACTTTTGCTATAAAAGGCTGCTAGAAGTAAAATAACATCATTAAAAAGCTTTGTATACCATATAGGGAAAATCTGGGATACAGAAAGGGAAAAAATAAAGCAGACAAAAGAATCTAATTTTATTAGGCTTAAAAACACAAAAGGAAGACAAGCTAATGTTTGCTGTTTAGAAGACCTCCCTAGTTACAGATTTAGAACATTGATCACTAGTGCCTTCTCAGGTACTTGCTGGGGATTTACAGAGAACTATCTTCCACAGTTGCAACTTTCCTGTTTTCTATCTGTTAAACCACAGCTTCTTACATGAACTGCCCTACAGGGACACTGGACATCCTATTCAGACATACATGCTAAGAAAAAGCTTAAATCAAACAAATAGTGCTCTGTTTGTCTTTTTTTTTTTTTTTTTTTTTAAGTACTGTATGATAGTACACTATCTCACTAGAGAAGAACCAAGGGTGTTTACACTTACTGTGATCTGAGCTCCTTGCCTGTGATGAACAGGTTAGTTTCCAGTGGGATTTTTCTGCTCTGTAGTAATTATATTGGGTGGGGGAAAGGAGGAGGGAAGGAAAAAAGCATGATATCAAGATACTTTGGACATTTTCTTAATTAATTGTTTTACAATAACTACAATTTCTTTTTCAAATAATAACCATGTTAACAGGGTTATGGTTAGGCATACATATTAGTAATTTCCGGGCAGGGAGCCTTGTACTTGCTATATTGTGCTAAAAATAAGCATTATAACAGAAGAAGATTCAGAATTAGATAAATCTAAATTCAGAACCAAACAATTTAAACTAATTTAATTATGCACTTGCAATCTTAACTCTGCTTTGTAATTATGCCACTCACCTGTGACTGGCTAAGTTATCATTAATTCCTATTAGTGTCTCTGGTCCCAGATTAGATAAACTGGAATTTTAAATTAATTAATTCCCCTATGCCCAATAGCATTATAAAGAGAAATTATGAAACCGTTTGTTTGTTTTAACTGCATGGCAATCACTTAACACCCTCTACCCTTTAGCCCATCACATGCCCTGGTAATTATTTTTCACTACAGGAGAGAGAACAATTATGATTGTGTGTTGAGTTTTTGCAAGTATTCAGTAAAAAAAAAAGAATAAAAATAAAATCCTTCTGAAGCATCAGTCACCATCTAAGATCTTCTTCAGAAAAAAAACCCCAACCAACTTTGCCCTTTTCCAGAGTGAACATTCACTTCTGTTGCTGATAAGATGACTACAACCTTTAAGTGCCCCTCAATAATGAAGCTCTCTTTCACTGTTATCAGAGTGGATGAAGACATACAGTATTGAGGAAGATGCTGCTCCTGCACATGATCAAAACTAGGAAGTGACTGGAGATTGCTGTGCTTGCTAGAGACTGTTTAAGAGCAAAATATTCCCTGTTAAGAGGCTTTATATTAGTGAGAACCTAACCAAGGTCCTGCTCTCTGTCCTGTGACAAACCTGTAGACCACGCTTCACATCCATATGGTTGAATCCTCTCAACCTTCAAAGCAGAGCAGCTGTATCCAAAATGCCCTTTGAGATCAGTCCCTGGCCCACGTTAGCCCTCACACTGTGCCTGGGCGTTGCTCGCAGCATACCGGGGGTCTGGGCTAAACTACATCACAGCCAACGCTGACAACATGGGTGTCCATCAAACAGTGGCCAGCCTGTCCCCAACCTGTGTTTAGCTGACTAGGGTAGATACAGCCATCAAATTTGGTATGGTGATGAGTTTGACACTGATTTCATTAGATTCACATCATTATTCTAGAATATTTATGCATGAAACTAGATGTTGAAGCCTGGCTTTAAAAGGGCAAGACTTAATTCAGTTCTATCTTTGTGAAGCTTTTAGGAGCCAGACTTAGAAGACAATAGATGAGTACCATCACAATAGAAAATCCTGCTTCCCATTTCCAAGTTGAAACGCTGGACATACCAATTTTAAAGTAAGTTTACTTAGCTGCCTGGACTAGAATAGTTACATGAGGATAATGTCATCACTAAGATCATTGCCACATAGCACGGTTAAAAGCTAAAGGAGTTCTTTTCAATGTCATCAGCCATACATGGCCTAAGATGACACCAAGTTCAAGTTGCTTATTGGATATAAAGGGAAATTTTTTAAAAATTAAAGCTGTCATTTAAGCAAAAGCTGTGGTAACACAGTGATATTCATATGCTAATTCAACTTCAGGTATTTTGCATCAAAAAAAATACACCTGCTCTTTACTGCTAATGTGAACAGTCACATCAGAAGGAATCAAACTGAACTAGATAGACACTTAAATCTAATTTACTGTTCTTCATTGAAAGATAATTCCTCATTACATCCTAAAGAGAAGACAATTACTGATCTCCCAATATTATATTCCTTTGCCATGATATTCCCACATACCTGGGAAGCTGAAATATACCTCAGTAACTGCCCCCACCCCCCATATTTTAGATACTCAACACAGATCTCATACAAAACAACTGAAAAAGTTTAATAAGTGAAAATATTTGCATTAGACATATCTAGAACTCAAAAGGCCAAAGTAAAGCTACTGATCCTGACTTTTCTACAGTGTCACTTACTTTTCTACGAGGCAGATATATATCAAGTCTCGCAATCCCAGTCACTTTAAAATTTTCATTTCCTGTTCCGCGCTCAATTGCTTTACACCGTATTTCTTCAAGCATATTCTCTGTATCATTCTCATTGATATTCAGCTTAGATGAGTATTTTTGTACAAGCTCCTAAGAAAACAGCAAGAAAAACTGGGAAAATGCACCAGCAGTATGACATGGAAGATACACGGTATCAACTCTAGAGAGAATATTTACCTTCATCTCTTTACCAGCTTCTTTGTTTTCATTTGTGTATGGTGGTTTCCATAGCTGAATTTTGTCCTCTCTTAAGCAACTTGTCAGTTTTGCTATTAAATACTTCTTTTGCGCCATTCTTTTAAAACAAAACCACAATTGTAAGGGAAAAGAAAGAAAAATAATCAATATTTTAATATAGCTTTTGTGTACTAAGATATTGTACTTTTTCAAGAAATCTAAGTGACATTTCTGAATTCTGCAAAAAAAGCCAAGTATAAAATGCATTGCATGCATTTCAGTGGGGAGGGGAGCCCGAATCCAAACCATTATGAAAAATTGGAAAGCGGGTGAAACCTGGATTAGAGCAAGAATAATTCAGAAGCCCCCTGCTTTGAAGCTTGCCACTTCAAGAGAAATTAAACCTCTTCCTAATCCCTCATGTGAGCTGGAATTGCAGGAGTTACCAATTCATCAAAATACATGATTCGGTTCTGCCCTGCCCAGGAAAGGCTGACTCAACCCAACCCCCCTCTGAAACATTTCCTTGCTGTACCTCTGCCTTCCTGCTTCTCCCACTTCCCTACTTTAACAGCTTTTCTACACCAGTGGATGGTTGAACACTCTTTGGGAAGACAGAAAAGAGGTGTCAAGAGAGGACATCTCAGAACCACAAGCTCCACCAGGAGAAGACCATAAGGTAAGGTTCACAGCCCCCCAAGCAAAGCAAGATTAGCTAGAGCACAAAGAGCTAAGAGCAGACAACGATCTACACGTCCCGTCCCCAGTCTCAACCACCTGTCAAGCAAACAAGTTTAATAGTATCACAAAATCCTATTGTAAAATTCTGGTTATCACAACAATGAAATAGCAGCGTGTCACTTTTCATAGTCCAAGAAACACTCTTCCTGCTCCCACTGCAAAGCTAGAAAAGACAGGTGGGGCACAAGCAACATAAAGTGCAAAGGCTGAGATCAGAGAAGTATACTGTAAATCTGCACCAGGCATTAAAGTACTCATCACTGGGGAGAAGATGATAGTGAGGTGAGTTTAGGTTGAATTCATCACTAAAAGTTATTCTCATTCAGCTCAGAGAAAGTAGCAACCACTGAATCAACATGCCCTTGAAAAAAACACAAAACAAGAAATAGGGAATGCAGAGAGGACAAGCAAAGGCAGATGCAGTGATCTCAACTGAAGAAAAAACAAATAAAAATCTATGTGCATATTAAAGCATGAGAGACTTTTGGCTCTTGGACACTAGGACATGGAAGAAGATGTCCTTTAATTTATAGAGAAGCATTTAAAATGTTGGCATATATGCACTAATGTTGCCATTGAACTTTTATTAATCAGTTTCACTTTTCTTTCAGTGCGGTTTCCTTTTCTCATTCTTGTTTATTAGCACATAGCTCTCAGGAGAAAAGGGGACAGAAAAGCAGAATCAAACATTTCTATCCATTTTTCCAGTTTCAAAGACTGTTCCTTGCTCAGAAAAACCACTATTTAAGAGCAAAAAAAATGCAGGCAAACATCCAACATGTGATAAGTTTACTGGTTAACTTTACCTCCACCCCAGCTTTATCGAGCTACAAAGAATCTTTGAATGCTGCAAAGACAATAGTCTCCTCTAAAGAGGAGTCAGAAGGATTAACTAAGCAAGTGGATGGTTTAACAGTCCTTCCTGATGGATTGCTGTAATTTGCATAACGTCTGTCCAAACTAGGAGAGAAAACCACGGGTTCTCTTTCTTGTTGGAATGATGTTGTTGGCATCATTATTTTAGGGCCAAGGCAAAACATGGCCTTTACAAAGCAGAAAGCAACGAACACGCTCAATTTTCAAAATATGCATAGAAGTTATTAATGCAGCTTTCCCCCTTTTCCAGAACATGCCAGGCAATTCTCATGAACAACCTGTGACCATAGTTTTCCCACTTTTAGGTTATGCTAAAGAACCACTTTCTAATTCTACTCAACATTAACTCAAGAAACAAAAAGGTAATCCATGGCTTTGGGGCATCCAGATAAAGTCTAAAATTGCAACCTACACTTAAGACTATGAATTGTAAATATGAGTGGCGTTTATAAACTCGTCATTCATCTTTCTGTCAATACTATTTTATAGTTTTGTAAGCTTGTGATTTCTTACAAAGCTATTAAAACAGAAAACACCACTGGGGTCTCCAATTAAACTCATTCTTTCCAACCCTCTATTAAGAAAAAAAAAAGAAATCTTGCTTTCACAAGCACAAAAGCTATCATTTTATATGTAACACTTCTAACATTTATCATAAATTCCTCTTTCACCATAACTAAATTACAGAAGTATCCTTAGCAAAAACATTTACGACTTACTTTTCCATCAGCCAACACCACAAGTGCTCCTGACACGGTTTCAGGAAGTGCAAAGGGGCTTTCTCAAAACTAATTTGAGTAAACAATCAGGGGGTATTTCCCAGGGGCCGCTTGGAATGCAAGACCGAGTTTTTGTAGCTAAGTTGTCCTCCTCCAAAGCCAGCTAGTCTTACAGATGACATAAAACAGTAAGAGAAATAAGGTTCAAACGCCCAATTTTTGATGGCAGGAACGGAGGAGCCTCGGAAGGATTTACTAATAACGCAGTATGCATCGATTTTCCCTAAAGACAAGGAGGAAAGCTACCTGGCGCAACTACGGTACGTCCCTCCACGGCTAAAGGAGGGCCAAGAGACCGAAGCAGCGTCATGAGCAAAGCCACGACCCAGCGGCTCGGCGAAAGGATGGCAACGCGGACACCGCCGGCCCCAGCCCGGGGTGCCCCCAGGCCTCCCCAGGAGCACATCCAGCCTCTCCCCTACCACGACAGCACCGAGACCCACGGGTCACCGCTGTCACCAAGGGGATTCCAAGCACGGCCCCCGGAGCCGCCGCCCTTCCCAGCCGCCTACCAAACCAGGGCGGCCGGGGAGCGTTCGGGCAAGCCACAGCGGGGCCGAGGACAACCGGCCCCCCGCTTCCGAGCGGGCGACCGCAAAGCGGCAAGCGGCCAGGCCGAGCAGGGCACCGCGGGGAAGGGGCGGCCGGAGGGGCGCTCCCCGGCACCCCCGCCGCCGCCG